CTTTCTGGCATTTTATAAGTATTGGGCATATATGCATTCTTTCTGGCATTTTATAAGTATTGGGCATATATGCATTCTTTCTGGCATTTTATAAGTATTGGGCATGTAAGCATTCTTTCTGGCATTTTATAAGTATTGGGCATGTATGCATTCTTTCTGGCATTTTATAAGTATTGGGCATGTATGCATTCTTTCTGGCATTTTTCTTTATACATTTATAAGTATTGGGTATGTATGCATTCTTTCTGGCATTTTTCTTTATACATTTATAAGTATTGGGCATGTATGCATTCTTTCTGGCATTTTATAAGTATTGGGCATTATAGCATTTTCTGCATTTTATAAGTTTGGGATGTATGCATTCTTTCTGGCATTTTTCTTATATACATTTATAGTATTGGGTATGTATGCATTCTTTCTGGCATTTTTTCTTTTTTTCATTTATAAGTATTGGGCATGTATGCATTCCTTCTGGCATTTTTCTTATACATTTAGTATTGGGTTGTATGCATTCTTTCTGGCTTTTATATAAAGTATTGGCCATATACTGGCATTTTCTTTTATACATTTATAAGTATTGGGCATGTAAGCATCTTCTGGATTTATAAGATGGGCATGTATGCATTCTTTTAGTTTTATAAGTATTGGCCAGTATGCATTCTTCTATTTATGTTCTTCATTTTTCCATTTTATAAGTATTGGGTATGTATGCATTTTTCTGGCATTTTCTTATAGTATTGATAAGCATTGGCTTTTGCATTCTTATTGGCATTAGATTCTTTTGGCATTTTATAAGTATTGGGCATTATGCATTCTTTCTGGAATTTTGTATTGTCATTAAGATCTTTGGCATTTATGTATTATTTTAGCTCTTTTGTTTTTAAATATTTTAGCATTTTGGTTTGAAGTATTACATGTCATCTTGTGATATTCATAGTATGTGTATGATATTTCTGCGCAATTTCTTTGTATTGGTATGTCTTTTTACTTATATAGTATTGCATTAATTTATCGCATATTATAAGACAGGTGAGCATAAATATTGTTGTTCATCTTTTGGCATAAATATATGACATTTCTTTCTCAGTTTTTAGTATTGATCTATCATCTTCTGGCATTTTAATATTTCGGTACTATCTTTTTCTGGCATTTCTATAAGTAGCTGGATAAATGCATCATCTTATATCCATTGTTGTACAAATTTATTATCACTATTCTGCCTAAACTATTGGAGGATTCTGTCAAGGACTTTATAAGTATTCAGCGCAGTATATTGCCAATTTATAAGTATTGGACTGCTAAGCATCCTTCTGCATATTTAAGTATTGTATATGCTTCTTTCTGGGATAAAGTAGGATATCATTTTTGCATTTTTAGTTGGGAATCTCTTCTGGTTTTTGAGTTGGTATATGCACTCTCATAAAGATGGGCATGTATGCATTTATCTGTTTATGTACTTGGAGGCATAGCTTTCCATTCTCTGCATTTTAGTAGCAATGTTACTTTTAGCATTAAGATGGAATCAAGCAAACAATCAAAGTATTGGGATGTTGTCTCTATGGCCCTTTTAAGTACTATGTATTTCATTGCCTGGATTATAAAGTATGGTATGTATCATTCTTGGATATTATAATACTGATGTAACATTTTTACATGTATAAGAATGGGCATTAATCTACTGGCATTTTATGTGATTGGCGTGATGAATACTTCGACATGATATATTGGGTTAATTTTTTGGCTTTTGTTTTTTGTTTCTTTTGGATTACTTTAGATTATAATCCTTGTATTATGCATTTATGATATTATAATATACATGTATATACTTTGCATTTTTACAGTATAAGATGCATTCTTCGGCATGTGTCAATAGCGTAGCATCTATTCTGGCAATGTTGGGCTGAAGCCGGCATTATAAATGCCATATAAATATCTCATAAAGTTTGGCAGTATGCATTATTAGGTTTGTATAGGATTGTGTAGCTCTTTCTGGCATTTTATAAGTGGGCATGTAGCATATCTCGGCATAATACCGATTGGTAGTATGCATCCTGATAGAGTTGGCATGTAACATTCTTTCGGCATTTAAAGTATTGGACGATAAGATTTTTCATGGCATTTAAAGTATTGGGCATTATGCATCTTTCTGGCATTTAAGTTTATTGGGCATGTATGCATTCTTTCTGGCATTTTATAAGTATTGGGTATGTATGCATTCTTTCTGGCATTTTATAAGTATTGGGCATGTATGCATTCTTTCTGGCATTTTATAAGTATTGGGCATGTATGCATTCTTTGTGGCATTTTATAAGTATTGGGCATGTATCCATTCTTTCTGGCATTTTATAAGTATTGGGCATGTATGCATTCTTTCTGGGATTTTATAAGTATTGGGTATGTATGCATTCTTTCTGGCATTTTATAAGTATTGGGTATGTATGCATTCTTTCTGGCATTTTATAAGTATTGGGCATGTATGCATTCTTTCTGGCATTTTATAAGTATTGGGCATGTATGCATTCTTTCTGGCATTTTATAAGTATTGGGCATGTATGCATTCTTTCTGGCATTTTATAAGTATTGGGTATGTATGCATTCTTTCTGGCATTTTATAAGTATTGGGCATGTATGCATTCTTTCTGGAATTTTATAAGTATTGGGTATGTATGCATTCTTTCTGGCATTTTATAAGTATTGGGTATGTATGCATTCTTTCTGGCATTTTATAAGTATTGGGTATGTATGCATTCTTTCTGGCATTTTATAAGTATTGGGCATGTATGCATTCTTTCTGGCATTTTATAAGTATTGGGTATGTATGCATTCTTTCTGGCATTTTATAAGTATTGGGCATGTATGCATTCTTTCTGTCATTTTATAAGTATTGGGTATGTAGGTATTCTTTCTGGCATTTTATAAGTATTGGGCATGTAAGCATTCTTTCTGGCATTTTATAAGTATTGGGTATGTATGCATTCTTTCTGGCATTTTATAAGTATTGGGCATGTATGCATTCTTTCTGGCATTTTATAAGTATTGGGTATGTATGCATTCTTTCTGGCATTTTATATGTATTGGGCATGTATGCATTCTTTCTGGCATTTTATAAGTATTGGGCATGTATGCATTCTTTCTGGCATTTTATAAGTATTGGGCATGTATGCATTCTTTCTGGCATTTTATAAGTATTGGGCATGTATGCATTCTTTCTGGCATTTTATAAGTATTGGGCATGTATGCATTCTTTCTGGCATTTTATAAGTATTGGGCATGTATGCATTCTTTCTGGCATTTTATAAGTATTGGGTATGTATGCATTCTTTCTGGCATTTTTCTTTATACATTTATAAGTATTGGGTATGTATGCATTCTTTCCGGCATTATTCTTTATTGTTTTATAAGTATTGGCCATATATGCATTCTTTCTGGCATTTTATAAGTATTGGGCATGTAAGCATTCTTTCTGGCATTTTATAAGTATTGGGCATGTATGCATTCTTTCTGGCATTTTATAAGTATTGGGCATGTAAGCATTCTTTCTGGCATTTTATAAGTATTGGGCATGTATGCATTCTTTCTGGCATTTTATAAGTATTGGGTATGTATGCATTCTTTCTGGCATTTTATAAGTATTGGGCATGTATGCATTCTTTCTGGCATTTTATAAGTATTGGGCATGTATGCATTCTTTCTGGCATTTTATAAGTATTGGGTATGTATGCATTCTTTCCGGCATTATTCTTTATAGTTTTATAAGTATTGGCCATATATGCATTCTCTCTGGCATTTTTCTTTATACATTTATAAGTATTGGGTATGTATGCATTCTTTCTGGCATTTGTCTTTATAGTTTTATAAGTATTGGCCATATATGCATTCTTTCTGGCATTATTCTTTATACATTTATAAGTATTGGGCATTTATGCATTTTTTCTGGAATCTTTGTATGTCTTAAAGTATTGGGCATTATGCATTATTTCTAGCTTCTTTGTTCTAAATATTTTAGCATTTGTTGAACGCATACATCTCATCATTGTATATTCATGAATGTTCTGATATTTCTGACGAAATTTCTTTGTTATTGTGAGTCTTTTTACTACTATATAGTAATTCATAATTTATCACATAATATAATAGAACAGGTGAGCAAAATTGTTTACCCTTTTGTGCAAAATATATGACATTTTTTTCATCAGTGTTTTAGTATTTATCTACCAAATCCAATTTTTATCTGTAATTCTTCGGTGACTTTTGTTTTATCTGGTCATACATCGTAAAAGAGCTGATAAAATGCATCATCGTATATCCATCTGTTGGTACAAATTTATTATCACTATTCTGCCTAAACTATCTGGAGGATTGTCAAGAGACGTTATGAAGTAATTCAACCCAAGTTATAATTGGCCAAACTTAACACAATATACCTCTAAGACATCCAATATGGCTGCCATAGCCATCTTGAAAGTCCTTTTACAGCTACTTAATATTCTGCCTAAAGAGGAATATCATATTGCATGGTTGGTTGGGAACCTCAATAGCTGTGTTGATTGAGCGTAAGACTCATAAACCAAGGATGCCTGGATTGAGTTATCTGTCTCAGTGTACCCTTGGGAAAGGCATCAGCTCACATTTCCTCTGCGATTTGTAGCCAATGTTACGTTAACAATGATGTGAATCAAGCAAACCAAATCAAAGATGATTCGTTTGTCTCTAATGGCCATTTCAAGACATAATAATTTCATGATGCCATGGAAATGAAAGTTAGTTACTGTTACCTTGGATACTCATAACCTGACTAAAATTTATTACATGATCAAGAGATTAAATCAACGTAGTTTTATTGTGAGTTAGCGTGAGAAAACTTCACAGGATTTATGGTTATTTTTGGCTTTGTTTTTTGTTTCTTTTAGGATACTTAGGATACTACATCCCCCTTCCATATATGATATGAACTATATACATATACATGTATATACTATATACATATACATATAAGACTGATTCCTCGGCCTAGTGGTCAAAGCGTCTGCCTCTGATGCTGGACATCGCGAGTTCGAACCCCGGCCGAGCTATACCAAAGACCTATAAAAATAGTACTAAAAGCTGTCTCGCTCAGATATGCATTAAGAGGTTAGTGTTAGGATTTGTCCGCCTGGGGTCAGGATAATGTGACCGGCTGGGACATGCTACATATCTGCGGCATAATACCTGAGTGGTAGACATGACTAGAGTCTGCCACACTGCCGACATCGTAGCAATATGACTGAAAAAAAAAATGTTGAAGCTAAAAAAATCCAGAATCACACACACTCACATACACAGTTTTATTAAAAGAATAATTATTTGAAATTTATTACAGGATCAAGTGATTAAAGTAATATAGAACTAAAGATCTGAGTTTGTAACCAAACCATGTTCCTATTCATACATCATGTACGAATATTAATATTATAGCCCTTCCCACCAAATATTAAACAAAACATTCGTATCTATAGAGCAGATAAAATATATGCTGTCAGTCAATTTCCACAGCTATTTCTCTTGCTAAAAATAACATATTCCTGCATTCGTATGTTATATAGTTGTTTTTTTTTTCTCATTGACTAAACATTTAAGGAATACCACCCAACTCCAACAAAAGATCTCAAAACAGTTGTCATTAAGAAAATTATTGCTTTTTTGTCTTGAAATTCTCCAATAAGCGTTTATAATAAAATGTAAAAATAACAGAATATTTAGAGAATAAGATAACGTTTGCTTCAAGTTATTTTAGCATAATTGCTTAGGAAAATATGTTCTCCAAATTTGAAATTGTAGTCTAGTTATGTGTCCAATTTATTATAAGCATTCTAATATGTTTTTAGTTATGAGGAGATAAGGAAATTAAATGGGCGAAAGAAGATTTAGTATATTAAGAGTTTCGATTATATCTAAACCTCGCACTAATAATAGTCCCCTACTTTTTGGACATGGTACTAACATGAGCCTGTGTATCAATGGAGAAGCTGGATGTGATTCACACAATGCCCTTTTTTTTTCTATACAAGATTTAAACACGTTCTTTACATATACTCCTCTTATTTGTATACTAGAATTACCTCATATCATTGCAGAAATAGCTGTAAAATATCGTTTATCTTCTTTATCCGATATTATCTTTGGATCGTCCAACATGTTAGTTCAGCCGATACCTACTTTCATGTTCAACTTTATTTCCTTTTTCTTTTTGTGTGGCATACAGTGACATTGTTGATTTATTTGGAAACCTAAACAGATTGTAATAAATATGATATGGAATAATTATCGTAGGATATTCAGCTATCGCACAGCAAAACCTATTTGGAAAACGATTTGCCGCGATAATCTCGTATTATCTGTCATGATGGACAAGTTACGGTTAGCATAATCATTCCAATATGATTTACCTGATATAACCTTAATAACGTTATCATTAGCCAAACTTCCTGAAAAATATAACTATACATAAGTAATAAATATTAACTACAGTCTTCGAAATATAGTTTTATTTGCTCCATTATAAGGCCCATATCAAATCCTAGCCTTAACCACGCTGAGGCTATTGTATTTGTTGTTGTTGTGTTTAACGCCATTTTTCAGCCCAAGATAGAAAATATATGGTAGCTAGTTTTAATGGTGGAGGAAGAACCCTGGAAAACCCCAGGAAGAACCACTGACCCACGAAAAGCTACTGGCAGATTATTTCACGTACCCACGTTAGCCGAGCATTAGACTTGAACCCACGCAGACATAGGTGAGATAGCAGTGATGCGGAACAATGAGCACTTAAACCATCCACTTGGCCACTTGGGGCTCCCTCTGAGGCTAGTACATCGTATCTAGCCTAAACTTTGATCCCTACGGAGAAGTACAAGCCTTCTACTGAGGAAGAAGACGAGAAAGATAACGTATTAGAAAGTGTAATCTGACATTAGAAGACAAACAGGGAAATCAAACACGTCTACCCGACATCGAAACAAAGTTGTAAAAGAAAGTGACGTAGTTTAAAGACAGAATGAGCGATGTTGTAAAAATGTAATTAGCTTATGTTTAACCTGTCAATCATTCATACTAAAGCATATATCTTACTTTATCGTATTGTTTATGGAATTGTGAGTACAAAAAAATTATCTTTATATTGTATATAAAGAAAATGAAATTGAGTTTCGTTGCCGCGTACAGAGTGATATGGCAGTGTGTAGTTTTGACCTTGGGGATTCCAGAATACTGATTTGTATTCACTAATTTGTGCCATAACAAAGTGGAATAAATGGGGTGGGGAGTGTGGGTTTATCTTGGTAGGTGGGTAGAACCTTCATCTAGAATTTTGTAACTATGCGTTTGTTAACTACTATTAAAATAATACTTGCATTACTAATTTTATCTGTATCGTCACAATACTGATGATATATATGAGTAGGATATCAGATATACAGTAGAGTGGTATAAATGAAAAATTGATGTTTTGCTACCATCCGCACCAAATTCGATAGGCGAAAAATTCACGAAATTGCCAAATTCTTGTCTTTGCACCAGCCAACCCATAAAACACTGATCCAAAACACTATATGCTAGGCCGAAATCTCCCTTTTCATAGAGCCTGCCTCTCAATTTATATGAAATCCTCCAAGGCCTTACAGCTTTGGTCTTTCTTAATGCAAACAATGTTGCCAACCTAGGAGAATCACCTGGATCCAGTGCTATTACCATTGAATTCTTGTACAAATACTACTGCATGCAGCGCACAACCCAGATGTTATTTGTAATAAACGTGTGTCCATCACATTCCATTAGCTATTGGTCGATAATGACAAATGATTTTACTATTCTTGCGACTAGCTAGAATTGACACATACTGTTTAAATATTGAATAATTTAGGCTGCCTACTATGTAATTAAATACTGGAAAATATTTATATGCAATAAAACCAAATTCACGTTTTTAAAAGCTTTTTGTGAATTTTTTTTAGCCATAATCGAATAGGCATTGGAAATTAAAACTCGAACGTAGAATATTTTATGTGACGGAGTCCCACATTCAGCATGGTTAACTGAAGGTAGAAGAAAACAAAGTTTTTGCAGACAACATGAGCTGAAATAATTGTTCTCTGAAAATAGCAAACAACTAAATTGAGCCACAATGCATGCAGATGAAGTGTCATGGTTTTCCAGATGGTGCGGCGGTTTGCATAAACAGCCTAGTTAAAAAAAATGACCATTGATTATTAAGAAAGAACATAATGTTGTCTAGAAAATCCATGTAAATTAACCTGAGGCGAAGAAACCTGGTACTGACAGGCATAATTTGTGTGGGCATTTCTTTAGAGATATTTTTCAATGCCCATTAACTACTGTTTGTACTGGCCGCTTTTTGTTGACACATCCGTGTGATTGACAATTTTCTTTGCAGTGATCCGTCAAAATGAAATTGCTAAAAGCAATATTTATAGCTCATGTCCTTATACTTCAAAACTGTAGGCAATATAAACTAAGGGCAATAGCGCGTGAGGCGTCTTCGGTTGTTCCAAATGCCTAAAAAAGCAGGCGAAAAAGTGGCCGCTTTGGCGTCGCCTTTTTGCCCATACTTAAAGACTTCATTATATGGCAGAGGTGCGCAAGGGTTGTGCCTCGAATCAAAAGACGTTTGTTCCTTTGGTTCCGTCAGTTATATAATTATGACTAATCAAGTTTATTATGAGTTTTCAACGAGACTTTTCATGATCTCATCGCGTCCTTCGTCTTTCCCTCGAGATATTACTGAAAGTTTGACAATGCCAACCGTATTGGACGCCTTTTATGAATGCCGCTCATATCTCATTCTGTATTGCCGTTTACTTCTCAGCCTCATCAAGCACGATCTTTACCTCGTCCTTCGAGATGGCATTGTCCAGCAAGGCCTTATAAATCTGATAAGCTATATTATTCAGTGTTGTTGCAGCCAAGAAGAGGATCTCATCTGCTTTCTGTTTTCGTGGTGAGCAGCTTGCAGATAAAAAGTTTCCAGCTACAGAACGCGACCTGTAACGTTAAGCCATAACCTTAAAGGCAATCACATTAGGGTAGGCAGTGATTGTTGATTGGATCTTGATTCTCTCCAAGGCGGTGCCTAGAGACAAAGTCGTTAGTTTGCCATCTATCTTCAGGCCCCAGCGACTCTTTATTTATGCGATGCTGTAGACCGCTTTTATTTCGATTATAGTTCTTTTTCATTTGTTGAGATAAGTGTATAAACTGTCTCACATACACGGAAGGAAATATTATAGGATTCAGTTTTATTACATACCGCATTGTTATTGCGGTAGTAGTATTCGTGCTCACATCTCCTCCCCGTCGAGGCAAGTACTCTTGTTTTCTTCTTCAACAGTGAAAGCTCAATTATACAAAACATACAACAGACTGGTTCATGGTGAAAAAGGTGATCGTAATGCTTGTTGTCTAAATGTAATCGTCTTATTTTCCATTCCTATGTGAACCGGTGCGTGTCAACACCATGTTGGCGCAGGCACACTTGCAACAGTGGTTTGTATCTCATGTCAAATGTCAACGTGTTTTGCAAGCAGCTCCAATACTTGTCATTGATCTTCATTAACAGGCTGAATCAACGAATCATGTTCATTATTTTTGTTTCCTCCAATATGACTAATGTTTTCAATCAACATTAATTCTATATGTAAAGCCAAAGATAGGAGTGGTTAATAATAAGGTAGGCCGTGCTCTGACTCTGATGCCATCGCATCTCAGGAGGCCAACATAGACTCCAGTCTAGTTATAAGACTTTCGTGTAAGTCGTTACCCAGAGCAGCACTACTAACACTATATGCAATGTAGGCCCCATCACCAAGGATACGAAGCGACAGGCACATTCTGTCATTGCGTCTTCCGTGGAGGCTAGCGACGTAAAAATTCGTTTCCAGGGAGGTGATAGTATAATTATCATTTCTGAATGTAAAATCATCAGCTTTATGAAACTCTTGAATTGAATCCCAACAATACCAAACAGATGTATTTATTGTTGTAATCCCTCTCAAACTATAACTGAGCAAAACTAAAAGACTG